TAAGGAGCTCACCACTGAGCTGCAGCCCCACCCTCAGTCCTAGAGAATCATGGATGCAAGTGATTCTGAGCAAACCTGAACCAACATCCCTAGAAACAATGCTGCTGTGTAGGTCAACAGCTGGCCTGCCGTGAACGCTGGGCCCAACTGCTCAGACCTGCTTGTGGTGGCAGTGGTAACAGGCCAGCTCCCTGCTGCCAAACCCCACAGGGCTCAAGGCATCACACGGAAGCCCCTTCGCGGTTACACGTCCTGCGGTCCCATTGGGGACGTCCTGGAACCCTGGGGCTGCTCAAGCTTCCTGAGGCCACCTGGCCCTCCACAGGAAGCCTGGCTCCCACGGTGCGGCTGCTCCTCCCACAGTGCCCTCTGCAGCTGCCCCACCTGTTCCCTGACCCTCCCTTCAGCTTCCTGGAAGGGCCTCCTTCCAGCTCCCTTGAGCCAGCACCTGCCCCAGGGTCTGCCATGTTGGCCTGGGGGGACCCTGCTCCAGGGAATCCCACCCGTGCCTGCTACGGTATGCAGTGGCATCACGACACACATGAGACTGTAAGACTCAAAGATCCAGGGGGTGTTCTCTACAGCAAGCATGGGCACACCTGTGGGGACCCCACCCAGGGACAGTCTGGCTGGGCAGGACACCTTGTCCCCTGAGTCTCCACTCCAGCCAGGGTGTGCAGGTGGAGCCAGACACTCAGGCCCCAGGGGACAAGAGAGGTGTGGGCAGTGTGGTGAGGCACTCGGGGGCCTCTGCTCTGGGAGAAGCTCATCAGGAGTGGACCTTGGCTGTGGCCAGGGTGATGGAGATGCTCCAGGGGGGGTGTGGCCAGCGAGGAGCAGGAGCACCAGGGCCCCAGGACAGCCCCAGGTTCCCAGCACAGTGGGCCAGGGCAGCTCTGCTCAACCACTGGACATCCGACTGCCCACACTGGGCCCCACCTGCCGCCTCTGGGAGGTCAGAGGCCCAAGGAGCCCCCAGTCATCAGAGGGTCTCAGCGGGTGGGCTCTGCTTCCTAGAGCACACCAGGGAGGGGCCGACCGTCACAGAAAGCAGGCCCAGGGTCAGAGCCCACCTGCCACATGGACATGGGGCTCCCGGGAGCACTGCAGCCTCAGGTGGGCTGGCCTCTCCAGTGACACAATCCAGGTGTGGGCTGCCGGAGCCCACACTGCCCAGGCAGTGAGGAGGCAGGGTCAGTGCAGGATGGTCTGGAAGTCTGTGGTCAGGGCTGGGTCGGCTGCGGCCTTGAGGGCCGCCAAGGTGGCCTCAGGGAGCTTCTGACACAGCTGTGTCTGGGCTGCAGAAAAAAGAGGGACAGAACTCAGACCCCATCCAGAAGAGTCAGAGCGCCCTCCAGCCCAGCCCTAGGACAGGAGGCACATCTAAGCTGAGCCCTGCCCAGCACCAGGGCAGGAGCCTCCACCCAAGGTCAGCGGCCCTACGTCTGGGCCAGGCAAAAGGCCCAGAGTGGCTGAGAGGGAGCCACGCCAGGGCAGGAGGGGGCCGTTTGCGACCACCTGAGCTGAGGACCTCTCTGAGGCCCGGGAGCAGGGAGGGCGGTGGTCTCTGAGGACAGGGCCTCACTCCTCCCACACCTACCTGTTCTGAGCGGCCCCAGGAGACACTTGTAGGTGGCACGGTGACAAGCCAGCTTGACCAGGAAGGCTTGGTGGCAGAGCCACTGTGCTGCTTCCAAGGGAAAGGGGCCGGCAGCGCCCCTGGCCCCCAGCGACGCCCCTGGGGGAGCAAGGGGAGGCCGACAGCTGTGGTGGAGCCCCAGCCCACACCCCCCTCGGGCAGCCCGGCCCAGGCGTGCGCTCCCAGCCCTGCACCTGAGTTCCTGGCTCTCAGGATGGAGTAGCAGCAGGAAGCCGTGTCAGAGACGATACGCAGGAAGAACCGGGGGTTCTTCCGAACCTGCTGGCTGAACGGGAGCTGAAGCACACACGCGTGGAACCTGCGGGGAGGAGGGCAGGCCTGGGGGATCAGCTGCATGCACACCGTGTGCAGCTGGTGTGAATGCCCATCTGTGCACGAGTGTGATGAACACTTCGGCGTAGCCACGTGGGCACAAGTTTTCCTGCTTGAGTTGTCACACAGTCCCCTGCTGGGTGCCTGCTGTGCAACAAATGACTTGGTGTCAGGGTCAAGGAGTGAGGCCCCACCCTGGTGGAGACGCTGTCCATTTCAAAGGCCCAGCAACCATCCCCGGGACTGGACGCCACTGTCCCCTCCAGGCTCTGAAGGCAGCCCTGGCTTCTGTGCTGAGACTGTTTCTTCCTCTCCTCTCCCTAGTCTCAGGGACAAGTGACCCTTCCTCCCCACACAGGCCCAGGTATCCAGTCACCCGAGCTACAGTCCTCGAGCACACGCCCACCCCAAGAACATCAGCCTCTGGGAATGGCCCAGAATATCCAACAAATCTCCCAAATTAGCAAGCCCATTCTGACCCCCCCCTCCGGGTTAGTGCACCTGGAGCGCAGCCTGGAGTCACCTCTAAAACCCTGTTCCCCGATGGGGCAGAGCAGCCTCTGAACAGGGGCCCCATCTCCTTGGCCAGCAAAGCCACACGACTTTGTCCTTTTTCTCAAAACTCTGTCCTCGTGACTAAATTGGCACTGGGGACAAGGACTGAGCTTTCGGTGACATCAACACCCACCCATCCTCAGTTCTCAGGACCTGCCACAGGCAGGGAGGTTCCAGAAGCTCTGGAGCCTGAGCGCCAGACGGCGTCCTCTGCCACACCCTCCTGGGGTGCAGGCTGGCAATGCTCATTGGCTGCGAGCTCCGTGCCTGCCCCTGGGTCCCCAAATCCACAGTGTCTGAGGCCTTTGCATGCTGGGTACCTTCCACCAACACTCTCCTGCCCAGCTCAGTGGACGCCAGGCTGTGTGGGCCTGCAAATGTCCAGCAATGGTGGAAGTACGTCCATGACTGGAGAGAACCTGAGGCCGTGCAGGGTGGCTCCTGCTGCAGATCCACTTACCCCCTGGGTTCCCACAGCCCCACCAGAGCAGAGCCCCTGCTGCCCCTGCAGGACAAGCACCGAGTGGGCACTGCCAGCCCTGCGCCTTCGCTGGTGGCAGCGTGGACCCACGACCCACCTGTGGGCCTGCAGCAGGAAGATCTTGTAAATGTTCACGCACACCGTCCGGAGGCTGTTCACCTGGAGTCGCCGAGACCAGGACAGTCAGCAAGGGCCCTGGACGGCCACCCTCTACTCCATCCCCATCAGACAGAGTGGGCGGGGGGCACTGGGGCGAGAAGCCCCCCCCAGTTAAGTCCAGCCAGGCCCTCCCAGGGTCACTGTGAAGGGACAAGCAGGGGCAGGAGCACCTGGCGGGACATGCAGCACTCGACATGCACATGTGCATACATGCTGCTCTCACACACGCACACGTGCTCCTCACGTGCTCGTGTGCAGTCCCATACACACCTGCACATGGGTACACATGTATACATAAGGAGAAATGCAGACGTGTATTCACATGCACACACTTGCACAGACGTGCACTCATACATGCACACAACACTTGCACACACAGAACTACAGGACTGGCCACCCGTAAAGGCCTGGTGCTGGGGCTCTGGGCGTGTGCCCCGCTCACCTGCAGGTCCAGAAAGAGGCCGTGGCACTTCAGCCGCAAGACGGCTAGGAGCTTGCGACGCAGGTTCCGCCCCACCCTGGAGCCGCGATGGAAGGTGAGACTGGCCCTGACCGAGGTCTGAGCATAGCTGTGACATAAAGGGGTGTCAGGTGTGTGTTCCCCCAACAGCTGCTGTGACCCAGAGCCCTGCCCTCCTCCCCCAGCCCTGCCACATCTCGCCTGAGGCACAGCTGCCCGGCACGAGGACCCAGATGGGCTGGGCACAGAGCACGCAGCAGGCTCTGAGAACCCGCTGGCTCATGGCTCATGCCACTCGAACCAGGCCCTGCCCGGCCTGCTCCTGCCAGGACCTGGCCCACAGCACGACTGTACCCCAGCCTGGGATCACCCCAGATGGCCACTCGTCAGCGACATGACCGACAGAGCTCACCAGCAGCCGCCCCTGCACAGGCGTGGCTCCTGCCTGTGTGGCACAGCCCTCTGCCTGAAGCCCCGGCAGAGACCGACAGCCCGGTGACAGCGCCTGCCAGTGGTGTCCAACTGACACTCTCGCCAGGCACAGCCCCGGGATGGGATGTGCGCAGGACACAGGTGGACGTGCGCAGGACACAGGAAGAGTGCCTCCTGCCCCTGGCCGTCTGTGCGTGACACACAGTTTGCACGCCAGGATGTGTCTGCTGACACCGGCTTCCTTCTGGACTCTGATGCTGGAAGCGGTCTTCCACATCACCAGGTGTCGCCCGAGGCCAGTGGCAGAACGAGGCTTCTTTCTGGGGCCCACAGTCCCTCCCAAGCCATTGACAGATTGATGGGTGACCTGTCCTGGCAAGGCACGGCACCTCAGCATTCAGAAACGGCTGAGAGGCCACCTGAGTCTCTGGCCATCTCCTCCGCCCAGACCTGCAGGTGGACGGGAAAATGCCCCAACCTCCCAGCTGCTCCCAACACGGCCTCTTCCAGTTCGCCCCAGGGCTGGCGTCTGGGCTGTGAGGACTGGGCAGAGCGAGGGCTGGGGGCCGGGTGGTGACCAAGGGTGTGCCGTGTCACCCTTCCTCATGGGCCAAGTGAGCAAGGGACGGCAGCACAGGCAGAGGCTGGTCAGGGAGGACGTGAGGGCACTGCGCTCTCGGCTTCCCTGGGGACGCCCTGCTGCGCTCCCTTGGGGTCAGCTCACTCCTGCGTCCATGCTTCTCACGCTGGCCACCCTGTACCTGCGCCTTTCAGTGTAGGGTGCAAGGTGCAGGTGGAAGTCACTCTCTCCCTCCAGTCAGCTCTCCAGAAAGAGAAAACCACCGTCTCACCAAAGAGCTCTACTGAAGGCAGAGCTCGGCTCTGGACCGCGAGGCCCAGGGCGGCCTGAACCGCCAGGGCAGGAACAGTCGCACCGCCCTCCACTGCAACCTGGGGATTTCTGCATCTTCACTCCCAAGAGCTGGCCCAGATGTCGGTCCCTGTGTGTCCTGAGTCACGGCGTCTGTGTGGGCCGAGGCTGCACCGTGAGCTCTGGTGAGACGGCACCGTGTCTGCAGACACCCACCAGGCGAGAGCCCTGCTGACCCAAGCCCAGTCACCTGGAACTCCTGGCAACCAGAAGGCCAGGGGTGGGCTGAAGCCTGTGTCCCCCTAGACACTCGTGTGCAGCCGGACCTCAGGCTGGTTCAGGCTGGGCACACACTGGTGCCCTGAATCTACAGGGTCCTTCTGCCAAACTGCCCAGTGAACAGCTCCTGTGCCCAGTGCTTGTGCACCCATGGGAAGATGCACCTCTGTCCACCCCTGGGTTGAAGGGCACCAGCTTCTAACATCTTGGTCCCCAGATTCCTGTCCTGCCAACAGGACTGGACCGGCCCTCAGTGCCGCCTGCTCTGACGGGCTAACTCCTCACCTGCCAGGGCCACTCACCTGGAGTAGTCACAGAACACCTCCAGGGTCTGCGAGTCCAGCAGCAGGCCGCACCAGGGGAACAGGCAGTGAGCGGGCAGCTGCAGTGGGGCAGCGCCGCTGGGGGCCTCGCTCTCCACAGGGAAGTTCACCACTGTCTTCTGCAGGTTTATCTGGCAGCCATACTCGGGGACGCCCTGGACCAGGGCCCTGAGCCAGAGGGCAGCGTTAGCCACAGGATGGGGCTGCTGCTCCCTGAGCCCCAGGCGTCCTGGGGCCGGCGAGAGCCAGCCTGGTCCAAGGTGTCCCCACCCTCCGGCTCCAGTCCTGGGTCCTGGGCGGGACAGGGCCCCAGGACCCTCTGCCGGGGCTCATCTCACACACCCACAGGGCCAGGCCTCCGTGGAGCCTCCCCCTACTGAGTGGCCTGTCCTGGGAGGGGGAGCCCACCCTGCCATCCTGTCTCCCAGTAGGACCTGCTGTCCACCCAGGTTTCCCTCCCTGACCAGGGCCCTGGGGCAGAGCCATCTTCCCAAACCACACCAGGGAAACAGTGTCCCCCTGCCCCTGGTGGCCACTGCTTGTACGGCTCCCGAGTGCTGTGAACCTGCAGGGTCCTCTGACCTAACTTAGTGAACTGGACATCTGGGGCCCTTTGGCTCAAGGACACTGCTGGACAGCGCTAGCCCTGGCAGCGCCGAGGGCCAACTCAGGCTGGACGGCGCGCAGCGTGGACCCACCACAGCCCAGCGGCAGCCCCTGCCTCCCGCAAGCCTTCCCCAGGGGTCCATCTCCTCACTCAAGCTCCCCTTCATGGGCCCAGAGACCAGCCGCAGGCGAGGCCGCCGTGGGGACTCACAGTGGCAGCCCGATTCCAACAGGAGCCACGAGACTCAGCTTCAAGGCCAACCCTGGGATGTGCCCATGGCCCTGGTCTGCCCACAAAAACAAACTGAAATGGCACACTGTGCCCATTCACGTGTAACCAGGGACTGTCAGCGGAAAAGACCCTTCCCCAAGCCCTGGCCTCAGATGGCCACTGCGCTAAGTCCACACTCTGGCCTCTTCCTCGCCGTCTGGTCAGGATGCAAGCCCAGGGCCTCCCACTCAGGGCGGGAATGCAGCCTGGGCTCACGGCACACTCGGGAGGTGGCAGTCCCCTGCAGGTGGCTCTGGGCGTGCCAGGTGCCACCTCCTGCCGCATCTGAGGCTTTCTGAGTACCATCAGTTTGCTGTGTGCGCGACTCATGAGGCTCGGCGCCGCCCGGGAGCCAAGCTCTTGGGGCCTGCCTGCATTCCCAACTGGCTACACAGCCAGGCGCCGGTCAGCGGTGTCCATGGGACGTCATCAGGCCCCGGGATAGCCCAGGCTCCAGGCACACAAACCCTCCTGGATTAAACGAATCACATCAGCCAGTGGGACCACGTGGGGACCCACCTGAGGAAGGCTCTGGCCTGGGCCAGGTGAGGCGTGACCAGCAGGAAGTCGTCCACCAGTCGCAGAAGCACCCTGAAACGAAGGGACACGCAGGGCCTGACCCACACGCCCCAGGGAGTCGTAGCCACCGTTTCAAACGTGCATCCACACGGATGAGAAGCAGCTTCCTCCTAACAAGCGGCCTCTGCAATGACCTGCTGGAGCAGGCACATGCCACAGCCCAGGTCCATGGGATCCACGCTGGACAGGGACGAGCCTGGCCTTCCACCAGGCACAGCCCGATTCTCAGTCCCTGGAGCCTGGTGGGCCCTGGGCCTGGAGGGCAGTTCTCAGCCACCAGGGAGAGCTGTGAGCCCCAGCTCAGGGTCCCCCAGGCCGCAGTGGAGGCCCCGCAGTGTGCCGTCAGCGGGACCTACATTCAGATCTGTCTTCTCCAAACCTGGAGTCGGGACCCTGGCCGTGAGTCGCAGAGAGCACAGGTGAGGCCCCTGCCACCTCCCCACGCCTCCCTGGAGGCGCTGCTGCTTTCCTGGAGTCACCTGTCCACCAGAGCCCTGGGGGTCGACTTGCCCGGGACACCTCGACCCTCAGGAGTGCCACACCAGTGTCTCTGGACCAGTCCCCAGTGCTGCTGGGGCAAAGCTGGACACAGCCACGGTCCAAGGCTCTGCCACCCAGGTGGGAAGTGCTTGGGGAACGAGCTCCCTGGCTCAGCCAGCCCCAGCCCCGCCAGCCCCAGCCCCAAGGCCCCGGGGACCACCAATGGACGGGAGGGTCCTGGGGCCCGACTGCCCCTTGCTGAGCTGCTGAGGCACCCTGAGCACCTGTTGCCCATCACAGACTGGACTCGCCAGCTCTCTAGGCTGTGTGCAGCCTCTGTGGTGACGTCATGTGAAGCTCAGGGCAGGACCTGTCTGGTTCTCTAAGACCAGGCGACTGTGAGGTCCAGTGAGTACCAAGTGAGAAGAGAGGCCTGTGCCCAGAGGAGAGCCATACCCGTCCTGCTGCACCCCGGCAAACAGCTTGTTCTCCATGTCCCCGTAGCACAGGCTGCAGAGCAGGGTGGACAGCACGGAGCCCTGGGGGATCCCCCGGCATTGCACGTAGCACCTGGGGGACGCAGGGTGGAGGCAGATGGGCCAAGGCCGGCTTCATGCTCAGATCCAGCACACACACATGCCACCCGTGCACGCAGACGCGACACACACATGTGCACAGATAAACCACATGCAGACATGCCTACACCATGCACACAGGAACATGGCTACACACACGCTGCACACATAGACACACAGACTTACACACGTACCACACCCATGTGCCCCACCCGCACCATGGTGTTGGCCCCTTGGCCTGCACACCCCGTGAAGTGCCAGTTTGCGAGGTCCTATGCCACTCGCGGTGGTTCCCATCTTTCGCTGTGGACTGGGATGGCAGTGCCTGTGCCCTCTGACTCACTGTGACTTTTGTTAACTGTAAGAACTATGTTCAGGCAGCCACAGCTGAGAGCGATCTGCAGGGGTTACTTCTTGGGTGCCAGGGACTGAGCCCAGGGCCCGCCCATGCTAAGCAAGCGCTCCACCACCGAGCTTCCGCCTGACTCTTGAACCAAAGGGACCGCTCATCTGGGACCCCTCTCCAAGAACAGTGTGTCCACCCTGGACACACACCGCACTCTGTGTGGTGGCCACAGCCAGCCTTCTCTCACGAGTGCAGCCAAACAAGGGCGCAGGGTGCATGGGTTCTGTTGCAGGGCAGGAGACCCTTGGGGAGGCCTGTGAGCAGGGTGGGCCAGCTGGGCGGGGCTCTGAGTCCACTGAAGAGGTGGCCCTGGGCCACTGCTGGGAAACGGCAGGTGGCTCCTGCTAGACAGGCCACCTGAGCACAGGCACCAGGCCGATTCCAGGGGCTGCTGCAGACCAGGGCCAGTGCTCAGCCAGCCGCCGGCCTCCCATGTGCTGCCTGGTAAGGACATGGGCAAGCTCTCCACACCTGTCCAAATGTCACATGCAGGGCTGGGGCTCGGTCGCAGAGCACTTGCCTAGCAGGTGCGGGGCTCTGGGTTCCATTCTCAGTACCACATATAAATGAACGAATAAGATAAAGGTCCGTCAACAGCTGAAATATATATATGTATGTACTAGAAAACAATCCAGCATGCTACACACTCGCAATTTGTGCTTTCCCCAGAAGCACACTCCACGTTTCTTTCTTTTTCTTTTTAGTTGTAGATGGACACAATACCTTTGTTTTTTATTTTTATGTGGTGCCGGGGATTGAACCCAGTGCCTCACGCATGCTAGGCAAACGCTCTACCACTGAACCCCAACTCCAGCCCTCCATACTCTACATTTCTAATTACCTCGTAACCAATGCTGCAAGCACTCACAGTAAGATAAGTGGCAGCACTGATCCTTACATGATAAATACTGTGCTCCTCACTAAAAACATCCAGAACATGTGCCCAGCGTGGGAATGACACGGCCTGACCGCGGACCACCCATGTGTGCCCTGGATTTTGCTCTACCTGCCACTTCTGTGCCTGGCTCTCCCACGGCTGTCTGGGGCCAGTCCTGCTCCTGCCACCAGCTCAGGCCCCCAGGAGGAGCCGAGTACCTCAACCCCCGCTCCCCAGAGAGGAGCGCCAAGCTGCAGAGGCCAGCCTGCTCCTCCGCCATGGGAGACACGAGGCCAGGGAGCTCTGCTGGAGGCACTAAAAGCAGCGGAGGTTTGGTGCTCTGCCCTCGCCAGACACGGGGCTCACGAACCCCAGGCCCAAGGCCCAAGTGCACAGCCGGGCCCACCTGAACAGGCTGGTCCACCCACGGGTGCAGCTCCTGGACGCATGAAGACTGCAGGGTGGGCGGCCGGCTGCACTCACCTGCCGCCGATCCTCACCACACTGCTGCGTACAAACCTCAGGAAGAAGTCAAACAGGTTGGTGCTGGTCTCGTTCAGAGAGCAGCTCTGGAAAACAAGCAGACAGGAGCGGGTGACGGCCGTCAGAATGCACGTGTGGCTGGGGCAGGAACGGGGCTCCTACCGGGGTCAGGTTTTCATGAAGTTGGGCTGGGCCAGGGCCAGGGCCAGGGCCCATCTGCAGCTAGGACAGAATCTGCCACAGGCTGCTGGTGTCTGCAGACTTTGCTGGACAGTGAGTGTCGCCTGTTTTGGCCCCTGAGACACTGGACCTGACCCATATGACTCCCGGAGAGCCAAGGAAACTCACCCAGGGGCCTCAGAGTGGGTGCCACTGTCCCCTAAGACTAAGGAAGCACTAGAAGATTCTGTAAAGAGCAAAGAACTACACGAGCCAATCCTGTACTATTGGAGGCCTGGGGGTCTCAGCCCAAGACAAAGGGTCAAGCCAAGGTGGGTGGGTCACAGGTCAAACCCTGACTGTCCTCCAAAGAAAGGGGCTTCTCCCTATGGCCTTGAGGTCAAAGCTGAGGGGGCACACACTTCTGCCAAGTCTCAGATACAGCAACTGAGAACAGGGAAGCCTGGCCAGGTGGGAAGAGGACACGTGGCCCAAGACAGAGGCCCAGGCCTGGCATGGCCAGCGAAGAGGGGACTCTGCAGCTGTGCCTAGTAGCCGTGGCCTCGTCCCCACCATAGGGCAAGCCGAGTGGCCCCACCCAGTGCTGGAAACCCACACAGATGCCCACCAGGCTCAGGGACCTGCTCAATGACGACGGCGTCCCTCAGCGCAATCCTGTCCTGCAGGTGCTCCACGAACTGGCGCATGTAGGGCTGCAGGTCCGAGAGGGTGGAGACCTGGGACGGGGAGGGGGGGTGTGAGGGGAGCATGTAGGGGTGCAGGTCACAGAGGGTGGGGACCTGGGACGGGGGGGGCGTGAGGGGAGCATGTAGGGGTGCAGGTCACAGAGGGTGGGGACCTGGGATGGCGGGGGGGAGCATGTAGGGCTGCAGGTTCCAGAGGGTGGGGACCTGGGATGGGGGAGTACATGAGGGGCCAGCGTTGGATGCTGCCAAGCCAAGGCCCCAGGACCAGGCCTGATACCAAGAGAGCTGGGTGTCCACCACGAGGCTTCTGTCTTGGGGGGAGGGAGGGAAGGCACAGGGCGGGAGCTGCAGAAATAGCGGGGCCACGCTGCAGCCAGCCTCAGGCCACCCCCCCACCCGACCACCATCCACCACCAAGGCCCAAGAAGCGCCCGACGTCTCGGGGGGGTGGAGAGACCACAGCACACGGAAGGGCCTAGAGGAGCAGGAGGGCATGGCTCCGTCTCCTGTCTGCACACCCTCTTGCTTCTCATCTCAGTGGCCACCAAGACCCATGTCCTCAGGCAGGACGTCCTCAGGCAGGAACACAGAGCCCCTGATGCCCCACAGGATGTTCAGCCAGGAGGAGTCCGGACGCGAGCCGCGGCCTTGGACCACAGCGCCCCCAGGAGGTCACAGCAGTGGCTGCAGTCAGAGCCACCTAGAGAGGTGCCCACCTCGAGATCCTCACGCTGCCCCATCCAACAGCAGCTGAGCCACCTACAGGTTATCGTCAAGAAGGGGAGAGAGATGGGCTGGGGATATGGCTCAAGCGGTAATACGCGCGGCTGGCATGTGCAGGGCGCTGGGTTTGATCCTCGGCACCACATAAAAATAAATATTAAAAAAAAATTCTCTCTCTTTAAAACAAACAAAAAAAAGAAGGGGAGAGATGACAACCAATGGACAAGTGGTGCCACGGAGCTCCTGGAGGGCAGCCACAGCCTCAGGCTCTCGGCCAAAGTCCACACACGCCCAGGAAGCAGAAGGCAAGCAGCCGAGGGAGCGGAGCGCTCTGGAACAACCCAGCAAAAGACGCCCCCTGCAAAGGGGCAGAACCGGAGCTGGCGAGGCCAGCAGGAAAGGCGGGAGGCCAGCAGGAAAGGCGGGAGGCCAGCAGGAAAGGCGGGAGGCGAGGGTGCCACTCCTGCAGGGCCCGAGGCAGCGCCCGAGCCAGCGCCCACTGCACTCACTCCCAGAAGGCCCTGCTCCACAGCAGGCACAGGATGAGGAGGGACGGGCAACAGTGGACCCAGAGGGAGAGGCCCAACACTAGGTGCTGTGGTGACTGTGCCTCTGCGTCTTTTCTCATGCTGTGACGAGAGTGAAGAGTTGAGAATGGCTGCCCCAACCACGCACAAAAATCAGCACACGAGACCCAGGTACAGAAGAGGGTGGAAACAGCAGCTGCCCAGAACATAGGCACAGTCTCTGCAGAACAGTCTCAGCCACGAAGGGGACTTTGTGAGAACTAAGAGCCACCCGCCAACATCCCCCTGGAGGTGACAATGGGAGGCACACACCTGGGGGAGTGGCTCCCAGAATGCACTGCAGAGCAAGGGCCGGCCCCAGCAGAAGCAGAGCAGGGCTGGCAGGTGCCCCGTGCAGAAGACCCCCCCAGCCGGCCGGACAGGGAGCTCGGTTCCAGCACCAGGACACACTGGACGTGACCCTCATGACAGCTCTGCACGCCTGCAGCAGCAGCACGTGGCCATCAGGAAACTCATGGCAACATCAGTACGACTGGACGATGCGCCAGCACTCTCTCCTCCGGAACTCACCCACCCAGAAAGCTCTGTCCAGCCAAGCACCACAGGGCATCCACAGCAGTGCTGCCCACAACAGTCCAGCGAGAACCACCCAGACGCCCACCCGCCGCAGAAGGGATGCTCCCAAGCAACGTGTGCCCAGACTGCTGCCCACACAAAGATGCAGCTTGCTTGGCCAGTCTCAGGCACGCCGGGAGCTAGAGGCCAGGTGGCCGGAACCACTTTCAGACAGAGCCCACGTGACAGGTCATCACTGTGGTGCCTTGGGCTCCCAGGCACGGTGACACGAAGTCCCCCCACACGGGGTCCAGGAGTGTGCCCAGAAGACTGGCCAACACTTGCCTGTCTTGTCTCAACGGCAGAGCAAGGGAAGCAGCGTGCGCCTCTCCAAGCCCAGTCCCCGATCTGTGCAGGCCCGCCAGTGGCGGGAGGAAAGGACCCTGGATGTCCATCACCAAATCTACTGTGAGCCTGAGGCAGAGGCAGAGATGCTCCAGGCAAGGGCAGCCCCACTTCGCACCCAGAGGGGGGAGGCAGTGCCCTGCGTGCTCTGGCCGCAGACACGTGCCACGGACGTGCACCAGCTCACCCACAGCACAGCAAGCACACCAGATACCGGTGCCAACAGGCCTGGGTGCTGAGCGTGCTCAGCCAGGGACACCCGCAGCGGCCTTACATGTGTCCTGAAAGACTTTCGGACGCGCCCGTGGGCGGCTCGCTGCACCACGGCGTAGCGGCGGACGCAGTACGTGTTCTCCGGGGGCCTGATGATGCTGGCGATCACCTCCACGAGGCGGTCCTGGGGGATGGTGTCGTACGCCCCAGTCACATCTGCCTGCAGGATGCACACGAGCCCTCACAGCCTCAGCTCCACAGGCCCAGGGGCCCCTGCAGGCCCTGCCCAGAGCCTGGGCCCAAACCACCCACAGCCCCCCTGCAGGGAGCGGGCACAGGAAGGCTGGAGACACACCATGACCACCCAACCCTGGTCAGAGGCCCAGCTAGGTTCAGGAGAGAGGCCAGCCTG